TTTGTTATTATTTTGTTGAACTTTTGCACAATATAAGTCCATGAAAATATTGTAGTAACAAAGTTCCGCGTGTCGGTATTTTAAACTTTCATCCATTTAACAAATTAGCAGAGGGTAAACATAGTTAGTTGAAATTAATGGTACAAGAATCCAGCAAGCTTGTTAAATACAATGAGAATATTTATAAGCGTGTAGGATGTTGCACGAAATTATAGAATATGGAATGTAACAAAAATTTCTGTGAATTACCAAAGGTTTCACAAAGTTTTTAATTAAACCAGAATTTATCGAATTCAAATTCTGAACACAAGAGTTCATTCAATTCCGTTATTATATTCAATTTTGCATATCTATTACATAAATCAATATTTCTCTATAAATACATTTTTTTTAAATATTTGTTAAATAATATGAAACAAAAACCAATCACAAAATCATTAGTTTCTATAAAATATTCTAACCGATTTAAAGAAAAAAAATCCAGGGAAAATTTATTCTACATAATATTCACCACTTCCTTTATTAAATCTACTTTCCATACTAATTACTAGATTACAGAATTTTATGCATTTATGGAAATCTTAAGAGTGTAAAAATGCACAGGTTGCACATATTACAAGAAAAATGCATAAAATCTCCAAAGTGTAGTACTTTTTATGGTATTTCTTAAAAAAGACTATTTTCCATCGTAATTATGTTCTTAAAATCTTGGATTTGCATAAATATCCTCAGTTTATCAATTACAAACGCGAAACGCCTAGTACAAGTTTCAAAACTACAATTACCAACACACCTATCCCAATCGATCGCCAGAGAAATCATTTTCCCTGGAAATTCAAACTTCCGTCCACAAAGGAAACACATTTTCCGTGTTTCTTTTAAGTTTATATAGGTTAGGCGTCCGCCATTTTTAATTCCGCCGTTTTGAAACGGGCAAGCGAGCAATTACTGGCGGGTCGCTTAAGGGGGAACCTAGAGACGTGCTAAACATCGGTAAACTTTAAGAATTTTTTTGTTAACTATTAAATGAACACTTCTGATTTGTCATGTGTGTGTACCTGTGATTGTCTGCTTTACGTTTATATATTTGCTGATAAGGGAAGTTATCAAACCGAAAATTCAAAAAATTAATGAAACTTTGTGTATAAGTAGAGTAAGTCAACCTTAATACATTGCAATTTTTGTTCTAAAACTTCAAATTTTTCAAAATATGAAGAAAATGAGAAGAACACTGTAGTTTTCGTTAAAACTTTTTTTCTTCTATTCAAAAGCCTATTTCTATTCCAAAAATTAGCTTCAAATGTTCATAAGAAATTAAACGATTGCCATATCGAAAAAACTGTACATTATATTTTAAATAATACATTTCTATTTTTAAATCCACAAAGATATTTGTGTTCGAATGTTTCAGCCCGCCAACAATAAATATTTTACGACAAAGCGTTCCGAAGTTAACAAATAACTGCGTCATTTTATAACATTTCAGCTTAGTAAAAATATAAATATAAAGCAGATGATTACAGTTACACACTCAAGAAAAAGTCAGAAGTTTCCAATTGATAATTATTAACAACAAAAATTCTTAATATTTACCTGTGTTTACCCTTGACCCTTTGCAATCGATATCAGTTTTACTCACAGGTGTGACTCTTTGTCAAGATATTTTTCAACTAGATTATATTATTATGTTATTTTCAATATTATTATTAAGAAAAATTGTTTACTCTGCTCTCTACAAACTAATTATTTTCTCAAATGCATTTCAAATAAAATATCGCAATAATACAGAGTTATCGAGGGAAAAATGCAAAAGAAATTCGGAGTGCAAAGGGTTAACTCCAGCGGTTCGATAAGAAAATCGGTCATGTGTGCGTATGTGTATTATGGGTGTGTCGGTTTTGCGGGTTTGATCGAATCGACCCGCAGAATCCCGCGAGCCGAGAGAGGATTAGATATCGTGGCTCGTGCAAGCCCGATCCGCATGATAATTGGGGTCGGTCGGGCTTCCCTCGGACACACCGGTGGCCACCGGTATAAATTAATATTTCGAACTGGAACAGACAAGAAGACTGACAAGTGTCTGCTGATTCCCAAAGAACCGACGGGAATGTCCGTCGTTCCGTTTCGAACGAGAAACAGAGAGGGACTCATCGTCAAACGTGCCGAATGCAATCTGCAATTTGCAACCCTTTGAACCTGTTTCCCATTAGTGGTGAGCACTGTTCGAATGAAAGTTTCTTTAAATGATTACAGTGATGATTAATTGTTATTTGATTGTTTGGTTAATTGGATGAAACTTTGTTGGAGTGACAATGGCAATAATCAATTGTTTGAATAAAACTTGTTTTTAAGGACAATAGCAATAATTAATTGTTATTCGAATGAAACCTTCTTTGAATGAGAATAATAACAATTAATCGGTGTTTGGTTATTAGTTTATTCGAATGAAAGTTTCTTCGAATAATAATAATAACAATAATCAATCGTGGTTGTTAGGTTATTCGAATAAAACTTTGTTGGAATGACAATGAAAATGATTCATTGTTATTCAAATGAAACTTGCTTCGACTGACAATGACAATAACTTATCATTGTTCGGTTTTTAAGTTATTCGAATAAAACTTTCTTTGAACGACAATAACAATAATTAATCGTTACTCAGTTATTCGACTAAAATCTAAACGTTATTCATTTATTTTTTCATATAAATGAAATATAACCTGCCTATTACCAATCTATAGTCCACAGAACAAACGTAGACACAGAGTAAGCATCAAATTCCCTTCCTTCCCTACTAAATTATGAATAATAAACTAATTATTTCTCAACCATGATCGACACTACTACGTTATCAACAATTCGTTAAATAAGGACAACAATCCCATGCAAATTCTATATCTATATTCACCAATGCTTATGTTTGTTAAATTCTCTGTAAAATCTCCACCACGAGTCTGCCACGTTTCGACAAAGCAAGGGGTTAAACGCTGGGTAGTTCTACCGTGAACTCAGCCGAGAAGCAAAAAAGAAAGGAGGAAAACAAAGTGAAACACAGAGTCCAAGCCAGCGTGAACATCGAATTTATCGAAATCCCGAGCACAAAGGGATCCGCAAGCGTCTCGGAACGCGTCGTTGCAACATTTCCCGGAGCCAGTCGTATCGTTCGCCGTCTGAACGGCCGGCTTAGCGGCCAAACAATAGAAGAAAAGGGTTTCTCGAGGAGCGGGGGTAGTTTGGACGCGCTGTAAACAGCCTCGGCCGGTGGAAGGGGAAGAAAACGGAGGTACACACTATAAGGGTGCTTCCAGCGTCGTCGTATCCCGTTTCACCCCGTGCGGCGGTCATCCGAACGTTGCACCCTCTTGAATAGCTTCCAGTTTGCCCCCGCGTTTCGACGATTCTCGGTGGGGTCGTGTTGGTTCCGTAAAGTGGACCGCGAGTCACGTGATCCGGGGAGGATCGTGTGTAAGCGCACACCTGTTTAGGGGATGGTAGCTGTTGAACTGCTCCGGGTCAGGTCCCCGTTACGTTTTTTTTCCTCGTCTCGTTGAGGGGACCGCCTAAGGGCTGCCGGGTCTAAAAACACAGCGTTACCAAGGATATCGCTCGGGGGCGAGAGACTCCGCCGCCTGGGGGTGAAGCGGGGTGAAATATTTAGAGTACGGGACAAACTGGTAGCTGGAAGCTGTAGTGCTTGTTCCCCTCGGGCGTGACTTGGCGCGCAGGGTGGACCGACTGGTGCTTGGGAAGAGATGACGGAGGAAGAAAGGAGCGAAGGAATGGGAGAAGTATGCGGGGTTAGCGAAGATTGGGGTATGAGGGATGTGCGTAGTTTTCTTTTGTTCTTGTCCTTGGTGATTCTGTTTTATTAGTCTTCTTGTTTCTTCTTATGTCTGGAGAGGTGGATATGAAGATGTATTTCTTGTTCCTGGTTGTTCTTCTATCTGAGTGGGTAGATGTGGAGATATATTTCTTGTTTCTTCTTTTGTCTGAAGAGGTAGATATGAAGATAGGTTTCTTCTTGTTTCTTCTTCTAGTTAAAGAGGCAGATATGAAGATATAATTATTCTTCTTTCTTCTTATGAATAAAGAGGTAGATATGAAGATATAGTTCTCCTTGTTTCTTCTTCTAAAGGGGTAGATATGAAGATATAATTCTTTGTTTCCTTCTAGTTAAAGAGGTAGATATGAAGATATAGTTCTCCCTCTTGTTTCTTCTTCTAATGAGGTAGATATAAAGATATAATTCTTTGTTTCCTTCTTCTGGTTAAAGAGGTAGATATGAAGATATAGTTCTTCCTCTTGTTTCTTCTTCTAATGAGGTAGATATAAAGATATAATTCTGTTTTTTCTTCTTCTACTTAAAAGGCAGATACAAAGATATATTTCTGCTTCTTATGTCTTCTTCTATCTGAAGGGGTAGATATGGAGATATTTCTTGTTCTTATTTGTTCTTTTGTTTGACAAGGTAGATATGGAGATATAATTCTTTTTCTTCTTCTTCTACCTAAAAAGATAGATATAAAAATATATTTCTGCTTCTTGTGTCTTCTTCTATCTGAAGGGGTAGATATGGAGATATATTTCTTGTTCTTGTTTGTTCTTTTGTCTGAAGAGGTAGATACGAAGATATAATTCTTTTTCTTCTTCTACTTAAAAGGTAGATATAAAGATATATTTCTGCTTCTTGTTTCTCCTTCTATCTAAAGAGGTAGATCTGAAGATACATTTCTTCTTCTTCTTTCTTCCCTTTGTCTTCTTTTTTCTTCTACTAACTCTTCGTATCTTCCTTCTTCTAGGTTTCTTTTTTCTTCATACTTTTCTCTTTTTCTTCATTTTTTTCTTCTTCTTTTCCACTTTTCTTTTACTTTTTCTTCTCTTTCTTCCAGCGTTCTTCTTTTCGAATATTCTTTCTTCTCTTTTAGTACTTTCTTCGCTTTCTTCTAGCTCCCTTCTATTCTTAATATTTCTCTTGCCCTTGTTCTTCTTCTTTCTTATTACTTATTACCTGTTCTCCTATTTTTCTTCTTTCTTCTCCATCTTTTTCTACACCTTTACAACAAGTAAAGTTATTCCATCTAAAAGTTTCTTTCTCTACGACTTGTTATCACACTCGCAATAAGTTATTAATACATACTTCTGAAACGGGGGTGAAATATTTTTCTCTCCCCTACGTTTGCGTTGTCCAGACAACTTGGCAATGAACGTGTCAACAGCAGACGGACGCATGATCTCACCGGCGAATTTCTCCGATCTGTTTTCACATTTTCTTGGTCGATCCGACGGCGTTTCCTTAAATCATTCAACGGCGCGCAGTAGGAAAACATCGATTTTTCCGTGGCCAATAATCAATTTTTCGGTGTTCTTAAAGAAACGAAATAGTTTGTTCAATTAACAACGGATTAACTACCAATGATAAATATAATACGTTTCTCACATAATTTTAAATATACAATATTACTCCCAACAGTTTTTCAAACATTTTGCATCATTGTATTCAGTAAGTATACAGTAAAATTATGTTCTAGTTTTAATAATTTTATTCTATTATATTTATTAAAACATTTAACTAAATACATACGTTGTATTGCTAGAAAATATTCCATTATTACTACAGAATCAATTTATTTATTAATAAATCTTATAGACCAGTGTCATTCATTTCCATTAATTTAAATTTTAAATTAACAAAAAAATTATTAATCTTAATAAATATAAATTCAAAATTACATTTTAATTTTAATCCTTTCATTCTACTAAATTTATTAAAACATTCAACTAATACGTACGTGGTATTGCTGAAAACCATTCCATTATTACCATCGAATCAACTTTTGTGTCATTCATTTCAATTAATTTAAATTTTAAATTAACAAAAAAATTATTAATCTTAATAAATATACATTTAAAATTATATTACAATTTTAACCATTTTATCGAATCAACTTATCTCCATTTATTCAGACATTACAGACTTCCGTCCATTAAAACTAAGATCTTCCCCGCTATACATCGACTAGTGATCTCGCGATCCATGACCGACCAATCAACCGACCGTGTGTAGCGTAAACATCCGCGTGCGTTAAATCGTCGGGGCTCCACCCGTAAATTCTCATTGAAATCGCCCAGCCACGGTTGACGGGCACTACTTGTGTACACGCGATCTCGACAGAATAATTGACGATTGGAAAGTTCGCCTTGCGCCTGGAAACGCTGCTGTTTCCTGTTTGCCGTTCAATTATTACCCTTTCCGCGAAAACAAGGTTGAACTTTACCTCGGTGCATCAGTTTTTTTCAAACTTCTCTTTACATGTAGGTAAGGGCACCTAACATGGAACACTTGACTTGAAAAGCTTGCCAGAACGAGATATATGGATATTTTTTAATGAAACTTTCAATAAAGCACGGAGAAATTAATTAACATTCATACACTGATCGATAGTAACACAAAAATTTAAATATCTTCGAATCATGGTAGAAAATGTAAAGGCAAAAACAGTGGTTTGAAAAAATGGCACCTACTATGGAACACTTGACTTGAAAAGCTTTCCAGATAGAGAGATATGGATATTTTTCAATGAAACTTTCAATAAAGCACGGAGAAATTAATGAACATTCATACACTGATCGATAACAATGCAAAAATTTAAATGCCTTCGAATCATGGTAGTTCATAATTGTGATATATTTATAATTTCCAAAAATTTGTAAATTGTAGTCAAAATATTAAGAAAAACAATAAGTAGAATTTAATAAACCCTGAAAATAATGAATTTTTTAAAAGATTTTTTGCCTAATAATGACACTAACAATTTTATCAACTGAAAAAGACACATTGTCACAACTGTAAACAATAATTTAACTAATATTACCTCCTCCAATTTTCCAGCGTAGTGAATAAGTCATTACCGTCATTACGGTCCACGAAATCCACGATCAAGTCACCACTGACAATTTTACGACGCTAGTTTAGTACTCATACTGCGCTCTCATATCTTGGTGCACGAGGCATGAGCTCGAACACGTGGTTCCCACGAGGTGGCCTGAGAATTAATAAAGGAGAATATTTTAGTTCCACTGTCCTGCCATTGCAAAGTTACGACCCATATTTTTTCCGTTTACAAGAGCACACCGACTGAGTTATTGCTAATTATGTAATACACAGTGCAAAATGAAAAGCAAATAATTCCGCTGAACAAATAACAAGAGATCCGTAAATACTTATTTACATAAATCTCGTCTTCTTGGATATATGATGTTTAATGAATAATTTAGCTTCGTCGACTGAAAATTTTGTATATTTTCAAAAATCCCTTACTTCGCAAGCTTAATTGACCTACTTCATAATGTAGTCGGAAAATAATTTCCATGCAAAATTCCAATTTATACGAATACAATTACATATATTTTTAAGAATGCTTTTACAAAAATGGAATTATAGTAAAAAATCATTTGCCCTAATAACTATTATAAAAAATACTGAACTTTGGATATTTTATATTTTTCGAGTTGCATAAATTTTGTGGAACTCTGCAATTTCATATTTCTCATAAATGCATAAGAATCATTAATACTATAATTACAACAACAGAATTACGATAGAAAATAATTTTCCCCAGGAAATATTATAAAAAGTACCAGATTTTGAATATTTTATATATCTTTTTTGTGACGCAGTAATTCTGTGCAATTCCGCAATTTCATGTCTGCCGTGAATGCAAAAACATCCACAGTCCAGTTATTAATGTTCGAAACGCGTCGGTGTAAACTGGTTTCGTGACCCCGCGAAGGTTTCGTGTTCGATTTGTCATGCAAACACATGAACGTATAAAATTACCTTCCCCGGAATGGAACTCGATTAAACGAACGAGCTGATAATCGAGGCGCGAGTAGTTTATTGCCAAGAAACGCTTGGCGACGGTTCATTCTTGCATTGGAATTATTTCGAATTGTTACGAATGCGGAATGAAAATGAATATTCAAGATGATCGCGTTCTGATTACTTTTGTTCCTGTTGCGCTTTCACACTGAAGCACTGTGATAATCAACAGCTGTGTATATTGCGAGTTACTCAGTAGAAACTAGTTTTAGCTGAAAACAGTTTCAGTTATAACAGAATTATTAAATTATTAAGTAATAATATCAAAAAAAAATTTATGTTATTTCAATTTATTTTAACATAAACTTAAGTTACTCCACTTTCTTTTAACATAAATTTAAGTTATTTTACCTTCCTTTTGATTATATGTCACGTTAATTAGCTGGATCGATATATAACGAATAATTCTATTTAGTAAAGCATTTTGAACATTTCTCTATTTCGAAGTAAAACTGTCACAGCAATATTTTCACATTTTCAAAGGTGTAATATTCGCCTGGTTTTCTATACAAAATAAGAATCAATTTATAGAGTTGCTGAAAGTTTCTATTCAACGACAAATTGAAGTAGTAAATCACGAGATAGAATATACAGGAATAAAATCATTGGTCATGTAGCGCAGGAATGTTGGTTAATAAATGCTGATTAAATAAGACGAATGTATCGTCGAAAGTAAACGCAAACATTACGAGAGGAGATTTACACAGAAATCCCGTGTATCGGAATCGTGAATTATTTGCCGGTTCGTTGATAAATCAACCTCGCCAGCCTGGCCAACGCAAGTAATTAAAAACTAATCCCGATTCGAGGGTATTAATCTCCAGGCGAAATTTGATAAGCCATGATTCCCAGCTTAATCGTCGAGGAACACGCGACACCGGAATGGTTTCCCTTCATCCCTTTCTATTACATTCTCCCGTGAGACTTTCGATAATTAACGGTCGAACGCCGGTGTCTGGGTCCACTTTGACCCAAATTTACGAGGGCTTGATTCAATTTCTTATTTCTCATTTCTGTTAGATTATTGTTAATAGAATTTCTCAGTGTTATTGCTGTTATTATTAGTAGAATTGTTGTTCTTATTATTATTAAAATTAGTTTTATTGCTATTATTATTATTTGAATTTTTATTGTTATTATTGTCATTGTTATCAGATTTTATATTATTACAGTCGTTATTATTCCATTTTTTAATGATTACTGCCATAATTACTAGACTTTATGTTATTATCGTTGTTATCGATGTATTACATTAAAAATAAAAAGATCAATACCTCTCTTAGAAGAACGTCTGAAAAACATATCCAAAAGCAATCGATAATTCATAATTTTAATAATTCAATTGTATATTAAAATTAATAGTTACACTGCAATTTCTGATTTAATTGCAAACCGTTATATACTCGTAATTCTTAATTATGATTCACTGCGACCACCTCAATTTCAATCGTAAATAAATAACAATTAATTATTTATTGTCTTCAAAATACTGTCATCAGAACATTTCATTATGTTATATTTTGTCCTATATTAAACTACTATTCAAATTGTTAATTACCGATTTTCTAAAACTATTTTTCTCAATACGTTTTTCTAAGATATGTGTTAACCTTCCTATTAAGCCCTTGGAGACGAAGATTCTTTGAAACATACAAAACCTTCGAAAGACGAAGCTAAATTGCATCTTTTATTATAAATTATTATATATAAATTAATATTAATATTACTATTATATACAAATTATGTTCATTATCGGTTACTTAAATAATTGAAAAAATGGAAACTACGTACATCTCTTGCTGTTTAAAAGATTAAGTCATTTCTCCGCGATTTACGGTTCCAAATGTGAAAATTTCATCTCGTCGAAATATCGACGTTCATCCGCAAATGGTTAAATTTGAACTCTGGATCTGTAAGCATCATTATCCATAAAACCATCAAAAAAAGCCCACTCTTCCGGGAAAAATATATTTTCCAAACCGTTTTTCTCTCCCTCTCTTTCTCTCTCTCTCTCTCTTTCGCGTTTTGTTTCATCGTGTAGAAATCGTGTAGAAATCAGGTGAGAGCGCATCGAACGCAAACCCTTATCACAACCTATATTCCGCACATCTCTGGCAAGTTCAAATGTCGAGTCGTTAACGCGCGCGAGAAAAAAAGCTCGCGAGAACGTTTCATTGGGAAAATAAAATCGATCCCTTCGCGAGAACAGTTACCAATTAAAGTAAAAAGTTACCGGAACGAAACACCGTCGGCGTTTCGGTCGGACGGCCATTTTGAATCGAGCCTTTAAGCCCCCGCCGCGTGACAATAGCAGACGAACGTCCGTTATTCCTCCGATGAAACGAAATTTCAAATGAAAAATTTGAATCGTTCTGTTCGAAGAATCGTTTTAAACAAACGTTCACGATTTCCCTTATAAAAACATTGTTTTACAAAGATTATGGGCTTAACATATGGATCATTTTTGGTTCCTAATTGAGGGCCATATTAGGTAGTCATTTAACACATTACGTACTGTTAACGAGAAATCTCGTTTTTATATAAAGACACTTAGCTGTGCAACTTTGCTAATTACCACAGCATTGAAAAAAATATTAAATTTGATTCGAATTGATTATGTATTTAAAATATATTACATGACAAGATGATGTCTGAGTTTTTGTGTATATATAAGTTGATCTCACTGAAAATTGTCATTTGCACAATTCAGTTTTCTGAAAATTACAATTATTAAATAAATAACAGCTGTTGTCGCAGGAATTATTGAAGGAATTGATTTAGCAATACGTAAACTGAATTGTAAATCAATTAAAGTCTCAATAAATGCACTCTTGAAGCTTCTATCGAGGAATTCGCATTGAATTAATGTTATAACACATTAATATTTTATTATTGTTATTATTATTACTATTATCATTAATATTTTATATCTTAAAAACAAAGGTAGTCTGTATAATACGTAAGTAATCACATAATCACCTTCAAAAGTTCGTTTTTTCTCCAATTAACATAAAACGGCAGCTCAATTCTGTTTTTATAGGATTTTGATTCTATTTTGATTTTCTTGTTACACAAGACATTTAATTTATTACAAATTAGAAAAGAAGATTATTTTGTTTTCAAACGATTTTGTTTGGTTTAACGCAAATTGGAAAAAAGATTTACCTTCTTTTTCCATGATTTGGCTTGACTTAATACAATCGCCCAAATTTTAATTTTCATACAGTTCATCGTATTATTTCACTGATGTCTCAGGTCCGGAACCAATCGCTATGTTTCTACAGGTACAATATATATTATTACACGAATTTTTTTCAAAGGGAATTTGAGTATCGAAACAGAATTGGCTGCACACGCAAATATCCGTTTTATGTAATTAAACGTTAACGCAAACGGTACTTTGCTCATTCAGAAAATTCTACATAATTCCAATTTCGCGTTTACAATACCGCGGAGATTGAAACGGGAACGTGACTAGGCGTGAATAATTCGTTAACCTTTTAACTGTGCGTTCCCCGGACGTGAGCATTCGCGGAAGCGAAACTCGGGTCGAATTAAATTAATATAGTAAACACTCTGTCGTGCAATACACTTCGATATTCCATGGCTTATATTAGCACGAATATTATGATTCGGTGGAACAGAGAAATGATTTGTTAAACGAACTTAAAAACGAAGATCTACTGAGGAACAAAGCCGAACGTGAACAACGAGTTAACTCGTCTCAAAAAATGAACATGAAAACGAACGTTTCTATCGCAATGCGAAACTTTAATTTTTTTATAACTTTTCAACCAATACTCACTACCAAGAAGTTTAAACGTATACAGAACAATGATCTTAGCAAACTATGCCAAGATCAAGGTCATACGAAGGTTACTATCTTGCAAATGAGCACGAAAACACCCTATTCCCGTACATATTCTTGCAAATATCTGGAAAACTAAGATCGAGCGGCAACACTTATAAGAGAAGGTTGTTCAGAATCAAGTTTTCAACAATATATTTCAAGGCCATCAAAATCGGTGAAGAATCAGTGTTTCGAATAATTACCGTGTTTTCTATTGCGTGAGTAGAACAAGAGTGAAATGTATTG